TTTGGGGGAGAGACATTGGACAGTTTTAGGAGCGTTAATTTTAACGGATCCTATTGTTGAGTTAGGAATAGTTATAAAGGGGTTTCGAGGATACATTCAACTTACTGCCATCAATCACAGCCACCGCTCCCAAATCATTCGGGACTATGGTAGAGCCTCTAGCCACATCAAAGACATATTCAATGTCGAATAACTTATCTATGATTTGATTAGCTCAGGGACTTACTTGGGGAAACATGGATGCACGCATACCAGAAGATCCAATAACAAAACGCAGTGCTTTTTCTTGATGCCAGCGGAAACAAAGGAGGCCGCTTCCAGAACCCATTTCCACAGAGATAGGGATTTCCTGCTTCAAATAATAGTGATAATTTCCCATCGTCCACAGCTGCACTCTATCCTTGAACTGGACAGCAAGGACGGTTGAGTCAACATTCCATGCCAAACTGATTGTTGATGCCCAGGTGCTCATATCCTCCTGGGTTAGACGAAGCTTGAATTCGCCATGTCGAAGTCCATTTCTTTCGAAAAACACAACATCCACTCTGTCCTCCATACGCTGTATTGCTGCGATCAAATTCCCAGCTGGTCGCCAACTTAGCGCACCTTCTAGTCCATCTACTGGCTCACTCACGCTGTCCAAAACGCCATCTCGCGAGTACACCCTGATCACACGGCGGGCATCTGACTGAATGCTACTAACAGCAACGAACGCCCCATCGCCCCTCCAGCTGATAGAAACCCTTTTATCATCCATATCGCTCAATTTTCCCTCGTCAACCTTCTCTGGCATTGTCGGGTCCCGCAGAGCTTTTGCTCTCTTCCCTTGGAACTGAGTCTCCTTCTTTCCCCAGCCAACAGAGACGTGTCTGGAGATCTTGAGATCATCACTGGTAAATGCAATATTGGCCACATTCTCGAAATCCCTTGTCATATAGAGCAGTGTGTCGGATTTGGTGGTGATAGTAAGTAACTCTTCATCCAAAGACCATGTAGCTGCTGTAATCCCTACGTCAACCGAACCCACGATTTCAATCTTATCTTCACCTGGCTGAGGATCTTCGCGCACAACTATAATATCTCCCCCTTCCAGTACAAGACATGTGATCAGCGTGTCCGCAAAGTGTTGTAGTGATACTATCCGGTCCTGTTGCAAGTCCGGTATTGGTGATGGGGCATCCCAGGACGCGATCAAGTCGAGGTCGCTCAGCACTGAACCCTGTGATTTTCTTTTCAGTTCAATGATCGCGGTCGTCTCCGACGGACCAAATGCGCAAATAATAGAATCTGTCGCAGAGTCCCAAGCTGTCGCAGTCAGAGGCAGCCCATTGCCCAAGGGGACCTCGTTAAGGTGTATATTCCTCAGATTGCGCATTTTATATTGGTCGGTGTTCCCCGCAGCACGCCTTCGAAAACCTGGTATTTGAAATTCGAAGATTATGCCATGCAGATTCTCTTAAGTATACAGCATTACAGGTTGGATAATCGAGTTTGTTTGTGGCGCCTGTATATGCTTTGTAAGGAGTTTGAAAATACTAACTAACTAGTATTCAAATTTTCTGTTTGGTGGATGTATAAATATTTCTGGTCGATGACTTCATCCACTTCAATTCGGAAACTACCATGAGTTACGGCACAACAACAGGCAGCAACAGTATACAGTTTATGCATTCTAAATTACGATAATATAGGACAGGTAATGACACATATATACGGGAGAAAAAATTTTTCAGAGTAATTCTAGTTTTGTACAATGCAATAACATAATTATTCCCCCCAATTCCGCTTTGAAGAGGATTGGCCACCACAGGAACGGATACCAATACGTTCCGAGACGATTTATTGGGATT